GTAGTTGTGGATGGTCGGAGGAGCGTCGCGTGAGAGCCCGCGCGCGCCCGCCTGAGCGACAAGTGCCCCGCTCCGCCCCTACCCGCCTCTCCCATTGCCGCCGCCGTGCCGCCGCTGCCCTCCCCCTCTCCCTGCCCCCTCCGTTCCGATGGTGTCCGAGTCCTGCGTTGGAGCCTACCGCGCCCTAGAAGGGACCCGGGGGGCCCCACCCTTGTTTTTTCGGTTCGCCGTACAGGGTAGGGTGCCACCCCCGCCGTGCCTGCTGCAGCGAGGGCCCCTTTGCACCCGCGGGCAGGCCCGCAAGCGGGCCCTGCCTTACGCCCTGCGTACTCGTCTCTCCCAGGGATGCCACACGAAGCAGTGCTGCGGCCACTGCGTGCCCCATCGGATCGGAGTCTTTCCCCAAACGCCTTGTTTTGTCCTCCTCTTCCTCCTCTTGCTCCTCCTCCTCGCCCTCCTCCTCCTCCTCCTCCTCCTCCTCCTCCTCCTTCTCCTCTTCCTCCTCCTCCTTCTCCTCCTCCTCCTCCTCGTCCTCCGTCCTCTTTGGGGACTGGCCAGAGCCACTCGGGCCCAGGGCCGCTGCCGCAGCGAGCGCCGCAGTCTGCGCGGTTCCCCGTGGCGCGCCTCTTTGCGGCGCGGCGTTCTCCGCAGGGCGGCGCCGCCCATGCCGGGCGTGGGCGCGGCGCGGCGCGAGGGGGGGTCGAGGTCGCCGAGGCGGCGGCCCCAGGCGGCCGCGTCGGCGCCAGAGCGGCGCTCGGGCTGCGCGCAGAATTCAGGGGCAACGTTATTTGGGAGCAGATCATGGGGGCCTCGTGTACCCTTGTAATTCCGTGTTTAGAGTGCAGTGGCGCCGAGTAGCGTTTGGTAGTCGATGCGATAGCGCTGAGTTAGCGTTGGTTAGCGTCGATTAGCGTCGATTCGCGGAAGCCAACAAGACGGCGCAAAATGCTCCCATGAGTTGCCGCAGAAACGTTCGGGTAGGGCTTAGGCTCAGGGGGGCTTGCGTCGGGCCCCGATCGCCCGTTCGTCGCCGAGAAGGGACTGATGGCCCCGCCCAGGAGCGTGCGCATTTGCCATCGTGTACCTATCGCCGGTCTACCGGCGATGTATCGCCGATTCCAGGCCGACGTTTTCCGTCTTGAGTCGATCCCCCTTCCCATCGATGCTTTCCAAGAACCCAGGCCCGACGTTTCGAGCTCTAGGATAGGATAGAGGCTCGATGTTCGAAGAAAGAGGTCTGACTTTTTCTTTATTCCTCCCCCGCATCTTTTGGGCCTCCTGGGGAGCTCCTTGCCGCCACGGCTGGATCCGCTTCGAGATCCTGGCGACAACACATCCAGGACAGATCGAGTGGTCGATGTTGAAGTCCGAACTTCCAGGCCCGCCGCCGCGTCGGGAAAAAACACGACGGAAGGTTGTTTGCTATGTTCGGTGTCTAGGGGCCCTCACCAGGACCTTGGGGCCGTCGAACAGCGGCTTGGAATGACAGCCCAGTCTCGGGGAGGGGGTCGAGACCTCCAGGGGTCCATTTGGAGCGTTGTGAGGAAGCTGGAGTTGGCGGTAAAGCGTCGGCCAAGTTTCCGTCGGGAGCATCATAGCGCCCATTGTCATGATACATGTAGTGGTCTTCGGCCAATCCCGCCACCGTGCCTAGGTTGAAAGTCAGAGGCCTCTTGGGTACTTGTGGGGACCCCTGGCAGGCTTTTCGGACGCGTCTTGGAGGCGGTGTTTGGCGTGCCTTTTGGGCTTCTCGGTGCCTCTTGGGGGCCTCCCGGGGCCCCCTCTCGGTGCCTTCGGGCCCCTCTTGGATCCCCCGTGGGCCGTTTGGGGGGGCTCTTGGGCTGTCTAGGGCCCAGAAACCTTTGGGGGCCTCCTGGGTCGTCTCGGGGCGAGATCGGGGGCCTCTTGGCCTGTCTGGGAAAATCGGAGGCTCGAACAGGCGAGAGCGCTAAGCTGAGTCGAACACCTACGGGCAAGGCTGTGATGTGTGCCTCTCTTGGCCCTCTGGGGGGGGGGCCCTCTCGGAGCCCTCTTGGGGCTTCTTGGGGGCTTCTTGGGCTGTCTGAAGCGCATCGTGGACAGTCTTGGGGCCTTCTGGGGCCGTCGCGATACCACTCTAGAAAGCTCAACGCTGATTCAGAGGAAGCTCAAGAGCCGATGGTATGCAAGCAACGCGTACGCAAACACACATATATCAAGCATCACGAACCCTGGTCATTCCAAGGTTTCCGATCGAATTATTGGAGTTTGAGCCACATTAATAGCACACGTCGGCGCGCAACACATCACATTGAAAACAACCAATATGGATTATCCAAATGCATGTAGACATCGCTCAGCAGTGTTGAACAATTACCCTGCGACTTACCCAACCCATCGGCACCAAGGGATGATATAGGGTGTGCCGACAATCATGTGACACCATCACTGCAGGAGACGGTGCACGGCGGATATCTATGTCGTGCGAAGTGTGCGTGGTCGATTCGCAGAGTAAGTACAGACGGTCAGAAGGCATTGTACTGGGAAGGAGGAGCAACAGGAAGACATCGGGGTGGAAAGACAATCACCTCGGCATAACAAGCGAGATGATTTCGAGGTCGTTTGGGGATCTGCGTGGGGCCCCATTGTGCTGGCTCTCCTCAGCAGCCTTGGAAAGTGGGGGGCAGTTTCACACTTTGCAGCCCCCCAGGGATGGCGAGGCTCTGTTTGGGTCTGCGTGGGGCCCCACTGTGCTGGCTATCCCAGCAGCTCTCGAAATTGGAGCCAGGTTCACACTTCGCAGCCCCCCAGGGATGGCGAGGTCCCGTTTGGGTCTGGGTGGGACCCCATTGTGTTGGCTCCCTCAGCAGCCCTCGAATGTGGCAACAGTTTCACACTTCGCAGCCCCCCCCCCAGGGATGGCGAGGTCTTTGGGGGATCTGCATGGGATCCCCCTGTGCGGGCTCCCCCAACCGCCCTCGAACATGTATTCGTGAGGAGGAGGAGGCGGAGGAGGAGGAGGAGGAGGAGGAGGAGGAGGAGGAGGAGGAGGAGGACGGAGGACGAGGAGGCGCAGGGGGAGGAGGAGGAGGTGATGGGCGAGGAGGAGGGATCTGCGGGATCTGATGCGACGACGGGTCTGTCCGCCCTGGAACGCAGCCCGAGCGCCGAACCCACGACTGGGCCCAGCCGATCGCTACCATGGTGGCTGAAGGGCTTCAAAGCCTCTGGCTGCGGCCCCACATGGGGCCGAACACCAGCCGACAAAAAGCGAGCCAGGCGCAGGCCAAGAGGCCCACCACGGCGAGAGCGAGGAGGGGGGAAAGGCCCGAAGCAGCCCGAGGCCCTGGACCCCCCCCTCGGCGAGCCTCAAAGTCGACGGCGGCGTGGCCAACTTCGTAGACGACGCTGAACTATCCTCCCACCGCTGGTGCTCCAAGGAGAGACGCTGCGTCCTGGATGGTGCTGGCCTTCATCTCCTTGGTCGCGTCGCTGCCGATGAGGTTAAGGATATACCCAACCATCTGCTTGAGCTGCTTCTTGGAAGGCGGCTGCACTTCGAGTTCGCTGCTTGCTCTGCCTGAACTGCCAATCTTCTCTTCAAACCTGACCTTTGTCTTGAGTCCCTGGCCTGGCTTCTGCTTCGCCTTTGCTTTTCGGTGCGGAGCTCCACCATTGAGAACCTCAGACTTGTCCACGCTGTACGCCTCAACATGCTGTTTGTTGCCATCCACCTGGCCGCTGTCATGAGAGATGCCCGCAAGATCTTTCTCGTCCACCGTACCATCCGACTGCGCGTAGAGCTTCAGCAACCGAAACCTGCCCACCTCAGAGTTGCCAGTCTTATCCGTTGGGCTGTCCTCTTCACCGTCAGGATCATCAGCGCAGTCACCAAGTCCAGCAGCCACACGCCTCCCTCCCGAGAGTGACTCTCCGAGAAGGTACTGCTGCGAGTCGTCCACCAGCGAACCTTCTGAAGTACTGTTGACGCACTCCACCTTCTTCAGCTTGGAGAGGTCAGGCCAATGGCTACCTCCTTGTCCACTGTCGAGATGAGCTCCTGTACCACCTCCTCTTCGTCTTGATGGAAGCCGGCCTCGACCAGCTTTTCCTTTTTGGTGGCAAGTGCAGACTCTGCAACTCCTCCGCGCCCGCACCCTTGAACAAGTACGGGTCCCACGTGGCCTCCTCGCTCCAGTCTCGCAGCTCGCTGATCTCTTGGTCCACCCCCCTCTCCATTGTTTCCTTCTTTATGTCCTTCGTGTCCGCGTCCTTCTTCTTGTCCTTCGCGTCCGTGTCCTTGTTGTTCGTCACCATGCGCGTCTCCTCCACGAAGGCCGCCCGCTGTTCCTTGAGATGAGACTGGTTGAACATTCCTTACACCCATGGTCTCTTCTAGGTGTTTTTCGCAGACGCCTGAGAAGCCATCGCCAATGTCGAGCGCCTGGACTGTGAGCACACCCTCGGCGTACTTATGCAAGTACTGTTTCTCGAAGGCCCCGAGCACGCTGCCGATGTTGCTCTCGACGAGCACGCGGTACGGCAGGAGGAGCTTCATGGTCCCGGCGAGATGGCTCCTCGCCGCTGCGCCCCCACGATGTGCGCGGCGCGAAGGGCACCCTCGGGCCCCGCAGGGGCTGGGAGGAGGAGGAGGAGGAGGAGGAGGAGGCGGAGGAGGAGGAGGGGGAGGAGGAAGAGGAGGAGGCGGAGGAGGCGGAGGAGGAAGAGGAGGAGGAGGAGATGGAGGAGTAGGAGGAGGAGGAGGAGGAGGAGGAGGAGGAGGAGGAGGAGGAGGAGGAGGAGGAAGAGCAGGAGGAGGAGGAGATGGAGGAGGAAGGAGGAGATGGAGGAGGAAGGAGGAGGCGAAGGAGGAGAGGGAGGCGGAGCAGTCCTTGCTCGCCGCCTGCCAGAGGCGCGCCGATGGCCGGGAGTGCAACCAGCTGCGGCCGCCCGGCGTGGAGCTGCGGCCGCTGCTCCGCGCCGACGGCTCGGCGCGCTTCCGGCTCGGGCGCGCGTGCGCGATGGCGGCCGTGTACGGGCCCCGCGAGCCGAGGCCCTCGGACGAGGGAGGAGTTTGACAGCAGGAAGGCCTTGGCCTCCCAGGTGGGGTCGGAGCAGATGTGACGAACGGACAACACGCATCCATACCCATAGGGGGTTCGTTGGGAGGAGGACTGGCTATGGGTATGGGTGCGGGTTGTCGGACCCTGGGGAACGCTCCCGTTCGAGCGGGGACCCCCATCCGACAACACGCACCCATAGCCCTCTCCGATCCCCCTATGGGTATGGGTGTGTGTTGTTGGTTCGTCAAGAGGGGGCCGGACCCCATTTGGGAGGCCTCTACGGAGGAGGGGGGAGTTGGAGAGGAGGAGGAGGTTCGGATAACGCGACCACTGCAGTGTTTACTCTTCGGGCCACCTGGGAGGCCCTCGTCGCTCGGGGAGCTCGGTACCCTCACGTGTTTTCCGAAACTTTCAGAGGAACCTCGAGGGTCAGGGACTTTAGGTTCTGGAGGCGAGAACACCCTGCGATTTGGGCGGTGCATTTTTTTCACACCGGCCCGGCCGCCTCGTTTCGGGCCCCGGGCCTCGTAGCCGTCACAGATCGATCTGGCTTGGAACATCAAGATGGGGCCGAGGGTCCCAGTCGTGATGTTTCATGCGGACGGGGCTAGGACGAGGGTAAATCCGTTCCAGAGCGGTTTAAAACGCTTTCGGAGCGTTTCGGAACGCTCTGAGAAGGCCGCGGCGCCCAAGGCATCCTCCAGAGCCGCCAGATCTCAGAGATTCTCGATGGCCGTTCGATTTTGTCCTCGTCCTGGCCTCGCCTTCTGCGCGGTGCGGTGTTCTCTTCGCGCCGCTGGGTCGCAGGGTCGCTGGTCCACGGTCGGCCTCCGGAGGCCGTGGTTCTCGGGCCGCAGGGCCGCACAAAGAGAGACCCCTCCCGGGCGAAGCGGCGGGCACGGGACGGGCCCCAGGAGGCCACCACCCACCAAGCCACCCGAAGGCTCAGATTTACACGCCGGTCGTTGGAAGTAGGTATCTCTGGGAATCCCAGATCCCAATCTGCTTCACGCTCCTTCCTACTGCAAGAATCCAGGAGGCCACCATACACCGAGCCACCCGAAGGTCGCAGGCCCAGAGGTTGACACCAACACCAAGATCGGCGGTGCACCTCCACCGAGGGAAGGCGATCCCGATCTCGGTGATGGTGGTAATACTCTGGCTTCCAGGGTGGCCGAAATATTGCCACCAATACCGAAATCCAGGATCACCTTCCCTCCGTGGAGGCAACCCCCTGGGCTGGTGTTGGTGCCAATTTCCACGCCTCCGAGAAGGCTCAGATTTACACGCCGGTCGTTGAAAGTAGGTATTTTTGGGAGTCCCAGATCCCAATCTACTTCACGCGCCTTCCTGCTGCAAGAATCGACACGCTGTTGCTGTGTTTTGTTATTCTCTGGGAGGGCCTGGACCCAATCCACTTTATCCGCCTTCCTACTTCATGTTTCTACCTACTTCTTCCGACCGACGTGTACCCTCGATTTCCAGTGTGTGGGGGGGGGGTCGGGAAGCATCGAACAAAACACATGTGGAACCCTTACCCCCCCGAACCCGAAATTCGGGTCTTCGGGTCGGGTTGGGGTGGTCTGGTAGGTAGTCAGGAGGGGTCCGGGGGCAGCTCTTGAGCGGATGTTGGGCGGGAGGGTCAGGGGATAGACGCGTACAGTCGGACCGAGGCATAAGATCGAGGTCGGTTCGGGGTGGGTGCCCTCGTGTTCTTCGTGCTTGTTGGATGTTCTTGTGCAACCGCGGAGGTTACCCTCGGATGCTCTGTGTGGCTTGGCCGACGGAGGGTCCCGTGCTCTTCAGGGATGTTCTTCTGGCCTGGGCCTGTCGGGCCGGGCGAAAGGGGGGGATTGGGAAAGCGGGGGTTACGAAATCTGCTGCATGCAGCTGGTTTCCGCCTCACCGAGGGGCCCATTCCTCGATACATAGCCGCCTCCGGCGCCGGGAGGCGCCGGGAAAATCAGCTACGTGAGCTGATTCTCAAACCCCCTTTTTTGCTATCCCCCCCTTTCGCCCGACCCGAGCCTGACTGTTCCGGTGCCCATGCTCTTCCCTCTTCCATCGCTCTGGCCCTTCTGGGCCTCCTCCGGGAGCCCTCTACGCCAGGGCTGGATTCGCCTCGGGGTTCTCGTCATAACGCACCGAGGGGGAGGTTCGAAGAGCGAGGTAACTGCGTGCAAATATTTTTGTGTGGAGGTTCTCGCGGGCTTCTGGGGTCCGCGCGGACCTCCGAGAGTGATGCCTGCTATGACGTTTGTGGCTTACCGGTGCGAGAGAGTTTTTGGAACGAGATTCGCGCGGCTATGTCGTCTTGCGGCCCCCGAAGAGGTCTCGCGCGAGAGAGCTCTTCGACCGCGCCACCCTGGACGTCGTCGTGCGGCCCCGCGTCGGCAGCGCCGGGGCCGCGGAGCGCGAGCTCGAGGGTCACCTCCGCCGCCAGCTGGAGGGCACGGTCCTGTGCGGGGAGTACCCGCGGACGCAGATCCTCGTCGTCGTGCAGGCTCGGGGCGGCGCCCTTGCAGTCGGGGTCTTGACCTAAGGAACCCAAAATAAGGAACGAGGCCCCTTTTTTCCATCAGTTAAACTTCGATATCCTCTCGAAAACATAAGGAAAACCTGAGGCAAGCTGCGACACACTTAAGGAACGCGGAGCCCCTCCCCAACGAAAAGGGCTCCTTCTTCAGGGCCCCGACTGTACGGGGGTGGCACGAGGGGGCCGGCCTGGCTTCGTAGAAGGCAGGGGCCTTGTTCGAAGGCCCCGGAGGCCTCTGAGATTTGTGTGTTTTGTTGCGCCATCCGGCGCGTCGCGGTCGCTACTCGGCCCCCGACCCCGGGTCCAACGGTGGCGATCGTGCGGAGGGTTATGATGTTCCAACCTACTGTAGCCTTGGTCACCAGAAAGAATGTCGCACCCGAAAAAAGTGCCGAAACTCGAGGGTTTTCACGTGTCGGGCCCTGGGAGACACTCGCCCGACACTGTTTCGACACTGTTTCGACACTTTTCCGGGTGCTCGAAATTATTTCTGGGATGTGGTCCTGAAGTGTGATGGGATCAGCATAAGCGTAGGGGTGCTGGTGGTGCGGGCTTGGACCACCCCCTACATTGTGGTGCTCGCGCGCAAACCATGGTGATCGCAGCGCACCCTCACTGGAGATACAGAATACAGAAACCATCTCTCAGAAGGCCTCCCTTCTCCGAAGACCCCCCCCCCTCTTTCTCAGAATGCCGTCCCCCTCGCGCCACCCCCTTGCGTGCGTCGCCAGCAGGCCTGCTCCTGCGACGGCTCTGGGGCGGCAGTGGCGGGGAACGCGGCCTTCCTGGCGCTGCTCGACGCGGGCGTGTCGATGCGTGCCACTTCCCTGAGCGTCTCGGTCGGCGTTCACCTGGCGGCCGACGCGCCGGCCACGCTCCTGCTCGACCCGACGGAGGCGGAGGAGAAGGATCGAGGGCAACGTTCGGATGGCATGGGCTCCTCCTCGTCATCGTCCGTCCTCCTCGGCTGTTTTCGTCGGTGCTCGGCGGTTTTCCAGCCCGGGATGCCTTCCAGCGGCTGCGCCTCGCCGAGGGCGTTCCCGGGGTGCCCAGAACTTCTCGAACGACCGTCGGAGAGTCGGGGGCGGAAAAGAGGGGGGTGATGACTAGGGGGGGGTGGATATCATGGCGTGGACCATGATATCTCCCCAGATTTCGTGGCGCCTCTTCTTATTTTATTACGTCCCTGGCCCCCCCGCTGGGCCGCGCACATGCCGCCGGTCATGATTTGCACCCCCCCTCTTGGACACCCCCCTTTTGGCCGCTCCCGAGAGAGCCGAGTTGTGAGCTCGCAGACAGGGGGGCATCGTCGGGGGAGGGGGGGGGCTCAGGCGGGGGGGGGGGCGCCAGGCCCCCGATCGCCCCCTGATCGCCGAGGAGGGGGCCCGACAGCCCACCCCGTCCAGGAGCACGGGGGGCTCGCCATCGGGGACGTGTCGCCGACCCATCGAGCCGGTCCATGTCGCTGGAATCGGCGACGTACAGGCCTCGTAACAAATCAGCGAACACATGCCACATCTATCCGTCAACGCCCCCCCTCTCCCCAACGTTAAAAGTTGGCGGTGGGTCTGATGAGATGCACTTCGACCGCAGTCTCCCCCGCGCGTGCCAACATTGAGTTTGGGGGGGAGGGGGAGTGTTCAGTAACTGTTTCCCTCTACAGTATCGCCGCTTCCAGCTCGGTGTTCCCCCCACCGAGCCGGTGCCCCCCCGTAGCGTTGCATCTTCCGGGGGCATCGCCCGTCCTGCAGGTTGCCTTTCTTCTGACCTCTGACGCTGTGTCGGCGCGGATTCGGAGCGGATTCGGCGCGGATTCGGCGCGGATTCGACACAGATCCGGCACGGATCGCGGCGCGACGGGACAGGCCAGGCCCCCCGAAGCTGCAGCGCGAGCGAAGTTCCCCCCCCTGCTTCCCAGGAGTGCGACGCCGTGGTGACGGTCGGCGCGGACGCCACCCGCAGCCAGGTGGCCTCGAGCCTCTCGCGGGGCGAGGCCCTCGACGCCGCCTCGTGGGCCAGCTGCCTGGCGGCGGGCGTCCAGGCCTGCAAGGCTCGGCGGCGCGCGCGGGAGTGCCCCCTCCTCCTCCTCCTCCTCCTCCTCCTCTCCTCCTCCTCCTCCTCCTCCTCCTCCTCCTCCGCCCTCCTCCTTCACCCTCCTCCTCCTCCTCCTCATCCTCCTCCTCCTCCGCCTCCCTTTCCTCCTCCTCCTCCTTCTCCTCCCCTCCGCCTCCTCCTCCTCCTCCTCCTTCCTCCTCTCCTCCTCCTCCTCCTCCTCCTCCTCCTCCTCCTCCCCCTCACGAATCCGTGTTCGCTTTTCCTCGACCGGGACTGCTCTCCGGAGTGGCAGCTCTGGTGTGGGCCCACAGGCCGGCGGCGAGCCCTCGTGGGGGGGGGGAAGGCGGCGATGGGGCAGGCCCGCTCAGAGGCCGCCGTGGCTTCTCGGGGGTGCCCTCGCGCCCTCCGATTGGTTTTTGTTGCCGGTGCCCTCGCGGGCAAGAGCTCGGAGGAGCTGCTCGGCAGGCCCGGGGCATGCCGAGCCTCCTGAGCAGGCCCGCCCTTTGTGGGCCCCGGAAACGGCAGGGCCGTTTTTTCACCGTTTCCAGAAAAATGTCCCTTGAAAATGGAAACGGCAAAAAAACGGCGATCGGAAAGGCCACCAAAAACGGCTCCAGGATTGGAAACGGAGCCGGAACCAGTCAAAAAACGGCGACGGAAGTAAAAAACGGCGTCGGAACCGGCAAGAAAACGGCAAAACGGAACCCGTGAAAAAACGGCCCTGTCGTTTCCAGGGCCCACTAAGGGCCCGCCCCTTCTCGCGTCAGCCCTGGGCTCGCCGCCAGCACAGTGTGGGGCGGACGGCGACGGGGGGGCGATTCGCGCGCGGGGCTCGGGGCCGGCAAGAGGGCGGCCCTGAAGGGGCTCTCGACGGCTCCAAACTGCCACCGTGGGCCGGGAAGGTGCACGAGAGGTGCACGTTTCTCCACCCCACGCTCATTGCCCCCCCCCCCCCCCGTTGACGAACACCCGCTGGGTGTCCCCCCAGCATTGGGCTCTAAGGCTTGAGTTTGCCCTCCCCGGGGCCCCCGAAAGCGGCGCACCAAATGCTACTCTTGCTTGGGTTCGGTATTTGCAGTGCACTAGCGTCGGTTACCGTCTGGTAGTCGATGAGGAAGCGCCGATGTAGCGTCAACCAGCGTCAGCGTCGATGAGCGTCGACTTAGCGTCGATTGGGGCTGACTGGCGTCGATTCGCCAGAGGCAACAGGATTGCCTGGGGACTCCCAGGAGCTGCCGCAGAACCTGGGGCCACGTGTGGCCTGCTCCTCCTTCCTCCTCCTCCTCCTCCTCCTCCTCCTCCTCCTCTCCTCCTCCTCCTCCTCCTCCTCCTCCTCCTCCCCCTCCTCCTCCTCCTCCTCCTCCCCCTCCTTCCTCCCCCTCCTCTTCCTCCTCTTCTTCCTCCTCCTCCTCCTCCTCCTCCTCCTCCTCCTTCTCATCCTCCTTCCTCCTCCTGTATCGTTGCCCCTGCCGCCGTGTGACCTGTAAGGTGCTAGAGGCCTTCCTGCGCCTGAGCCTGCAGAAGCGGCTCGAAGTCTTCCTCGCGCCGGCATGAACGGGGCCCTGGTTGCCTAGCCCCGCCAGCCCTGGTCTCTGGCCTGCGCGCTCGTCGCCTTCACGAGTAACGCAAGAGTGACCCTCTGCTGGAGTGCCCTGACGGAGGAGGAGGAGGAGGAGGAGGAGGAGGAGGAGGAGGAGGAGGAGGAGGAGGAGGAGGAGGAGGAGGAGGAGGAGGAGGAGGAGGAGGAGGCGGAGGAGGAGGGGGAGGAGGAGTGCGGGCTCACGGGCTCTGCCCGATCGCTGAACGAGATGTGGTAGCAGCGGCTTGCGCGCTTGGTCTGGTCTGGGCCGCCTGGCGCACCCTAAAGTCGCGCGCGAATGGTCACTCTGCCTGGGGTCAATCTTACGTGCAGCCGAGCAGTCTGCTTGCTCCTCCTTCCTCTCCCCCTCCGTGTGGCTGGGCAGCACAGACCGTGGTGGGCTCCAGCAGGGGCAGCGCCTGTCATCGGCTGTGTTCAAGGAGCTGGCCCTGGAAGAGAACCAGGGGTTACCAGCCTCGAACTCATCCCTACCCCTAAGATAGACACGCCAAAAGGCGATGACAATCTTATGGATGCGCCCTGAAAAAAATAAGGGAATCCCTAAGATTGGCATCGTGATGAGGAGATGCCCAGCATAGGAATAGGGATATGTTCCAGGCTGGTAAGACCCTGGAAGAAAACCAGGGTATAAGCAGACGGCTCCCGGAAACAGGCCTGACAAACCGGATCCAGGATTGGGCCTGGAACTGGAATCAGAAACAAACGGCGACGGAATCGGGAAAACCACGGCGCCAGACCCGGCAACGAAACGGCGAACCGGAGCGAGTAACCAAACCACCTCAACCCAGCCCGAAGGTTCCCCCCCAAACAAGTTTTCGGGTTTGGGGGTGTCTGGGTTCCACCGTGTTTTCTCGATGTTCCAGAATGTCCCCCCGCTGGACATGGGCGGGCCCAACGGCGACTTCGGTTTGGGTCGAGGTGGCTTGGTTGATGCGCCTGTTTCCCACCACCACTACCATAAGTTGGAGGGGGGAAGGAGGTGGATGATGATGATGATGATGATGATGATGATGATGATGATGATGATGATGATGATGATGATGATGATGATGATGATGATGCTGATGCTGATGCTGATGAAATGATGAAATGATGATGATGATGATGATGATGATGATGATGATGATGATGATGATGATGCTGATGCTGATGCTGATGATGCTGATGATGATGATGCTGATGCTGATGATGATGATGATGATGATGATGATGGTGGTGGTGGTGGTGGTGATGATGATGATGATTCTGATACTGATGATGATGATGCTGCTGCTGCTGATGATGATGATGATGATGATGATGATGATGCTGATGATGATGATGTTAATGAGAGGGAGGAGGAGGAGGAGGAGGAGGAGGAGGAGGAGGAGGAGGAGGAAGAAGAGGAGGAAGAGGACCCCCTCCCCCTCCTACAAACAAGCCCACCATTGGTGGGGCAGTCAACTCGGGCACAGGCTGCCGTGATAAGACCCCGCTGCCCACGAGTGGCTTGGGGCTTCGCCTTTCACAGGCAGCACGCCGCGGGACGCCGACTGTCTGCCCGCACCGGCCCTGGCGCGGGCCCTGTTGAAGAAGCACCGCTTCCAAGTTCTGAAAGTTTGCGACATGAGAAGTTTGAAAGCTTGAGCGCTTGAAAGTTCGAAAGTTTGGAAACCTGAAAGTTCGAGCATGGTTGCGCAGCCATGGCTTTCTCTTCTTGCTCTGTGAAGCACGAAAGGCTCACACCTTTCCAAACGCAGGTTTCCGTGAGCCCGCTCTTTGACTTGTGAGACCTTTTGCGCGTTCCAGCGCCCGCTCATTCCTCAAACTTCTCGAAACCTCACCTCTTCCGCACGTGGCTCTCCGGGTCGCTCCGGGCCGCTCCAGGCCGATCTGGGATTTCCGTTCGAGCATGGGTTGAGTATTCGAGGAATGCAGGTTGGAGTGGAATGGATTCTGTTTGGTTTCACTGGCCGCACCGTCGCAGCTGTCATCATCGTTACCAGCATCGCTTCTATCATCATCGTGTCTACCGTTGTCGACGTTGCCATGGTACCTCGCCCGCCGAAGTCGCCGACTCGCAGTGAAGTGGCCGCTGGGATGCGCCCAGCGGTCACCCCTCAGACGGTGCCGCGTGAGGAGCAGAGTTGCCAATGGCCTTTTCCTGCCCCAGGCTTCTGGCACTTCGCGAGTGCAGTAGACTCGTGCCTTTCTGTCCCACTGCGTTGCCACGCGACGAATACAATCCATGACTCATTGAGCCGTCTTCTGTCCCTGGGCTATCGTGGCTCGTAGAATAGGTCCGTGGATAAATGTTGAACGCAGCGCGTAGCATCGTGTAGTGTTTCTGTTGCCTCCTAAGTCCTGCCGCGTGGCGCCCAGCAGCCCCAGGCGTTGCCACGTGGCGAGCAGAGCGGAACAGTATGGTTTCGACCTGCAGGCGTGGAAGCGGTGATGAGTGGAGGCTCGGCATCGCTCGGACGTGTACATTTTTGTCGGTGGGGACCATCGAAGCATTCTGGATCATCGAGTGAAAAAAAAAACACGCGCGAAAGCGATAGATGCACCACAAATGGACGTCCAAGCGATTTCGAGCAGAGGTATCGTATTCGTTTCCGCCTCTCTGCGTTGCCGTGCGGCGTGCGCACGCTTGTAGCAGGTTTGTTCCGCACGCAGGGCGCTGCCGCGTTGCGAATGCAGCGGGATAAGATTGGTTTCGCCCCCCACGGCGTCGCCACGTGGCGAGGAGAGTGGAACAGTAGGTTCTCGGCCCCATGTGTTAATGCTTGACGAGTAGAGTGGAATAGTATTTGCTTCCGCTCCTCTGCGGTGTCACGCGGCGTGTAGAATTACATAGTTTCCCGGGGTTGCGCCGTGACGAGTAGATTGGAGCATTAGTTTTGTTGTCCGCCCAGGCGCTGCCGCGTGGAGAATAGAGCGGAATGGTATGATGTTTGCCCTCGCGTCGTTGCCACGTGACGAGTGGGATGGAACCGTATTTTTCTGCCCCCCAGACGTTGCCACGTGGCGGGTAGAATGGAATCGTGGTTTCTCTTCCTCTCTGCGGTGCCACGTGGCGTATAGAAATGTGTAGTCGTTGTTTTTTCGCGCGCTGAGCGTTGCCACTTGACGGATAGAGTGGGATTGTATATGTTTCGTTCTCGCAGGCGTTGCCACATGGAGAATAGGTCGACGTTGTTTTGCTCATTTGCGTTGCCGCGTGGCGTGTAGAGACGTATAGTTGATTCCCCCCCGTCAGGCGTTGCCTCGTCACGAGTATAATCGTTTTTTTGATGTTGTTCC